AACTCCACAAAAACAAAACTGGTACACAAATGTGGAGACGGTCTACGTTCCAATTTTCCAGGTGGAACTTTAGCTTCTCAAGGACAAACCTGACTTCTAGTTCCTATTGAAACTAATATTGATCTATCTATCCCAGCATAGGAACATGCAATCTCAAGTTATTCACCCCCTGATAGTAAAACTGACCATTAAATCTCCACAGACATGAACTCAGTGTCTACATAAAGGATGAATTCCCATATTGCAGAAAGCCTTAAAACAGTCATGGATCACATGTGACCCATTTGGTCTCTCTAAATGGCACGCTTAATTTCATAAGGAAAATAACGTTTCTTTAAATTTTGATTGTTTTCTTTTCATTCTCACTTGTTCACTCACACATTCTATCATACATAAACAATGATTAAGTACAATGTTTCTTGAATTTTGTAAAATTTTGGGGAAAACTAACATTGTCAGCATTTTAAACCATTAGCAATTTCCACTAAGGAAAATCATACATTGCTTTTGAAACAGGAAACAATTACAAGAATTTTTTTCTCTAAAGAAATGTTTTCATTTTCAAATGAATAAATTAGAAATATATCCCATGCAGTGACATGGGATAATCACAATATCATCAGTTATATAAATATGTATATTTAAATGTGTATTAAATATATGATTACACATATGGTCTTCCATAGTGAGAATAGCATAGGTAACTACTATGAAAAATTACCTTGAATCTTTTTCAGCAGTGCGGCCTGCCTTGTGATAAGCCATAGATCATGTGATCCACTACTCGACAAAGGTTGCCTGTGCCTGCCCTAAAATGAGGATTATGATTTTCCATTCATGTGCTTTTGCATGGCCTTGTTCATTGGCTCCTCTATCTTCACTGGATATAATCCACAGGATGACAGACTTCTTCCTTACATCCTGCCCTGCTGAAGTGTTACCTCCCCTGGGTAATTCAGACCATTTACTGGTCAGTGTTAAAGTTGATGCCGAACATAGGGCATCTCGCAGATGTGCGGTTTCATTGGATGTTATTTTGGTACATGAAAACTGGCTGGGATAGCTTCAGAATGGCCACTATCATCTCTGAATGGGCCCTTTTTGGCAAGGAATGTTTTATACCCCAGAAAAAATACCAACAAAAATAATCAGCCCTTGTCCCCCCCCCCGAATGTTATGCAACTAACTGTAGCTCACTATAACCATCATGAAAATATCAATCACTGGGAATCGTGTAGTAGAACTGCTGCAATAATTACAAAAAAAATGCAAAGTGCAGCTATGCACAATCCTGAGATAAAGATGAAAACAGACGACTAGGATCCTATGAGAATATTTAACCAAATTCTCAATAGAGGCAAAGTGTTATTGAGGACATAATTTTGAAATTCTTCCAAAAATCAAATAATTGTCAGATTTTAATGAAACTTTCAGGACTTATTCACAAATGAATGAAATTATTTTTTAATTTTTTTTTTCTTTTTAAAGAAAATCTTGGTAAAAAAATCTTTTTTTCCATATTACCTCCTCAAACTAACTTAATTACATGAAATTTTGAGAAATTAAATTGAAATCCTAAAATTTGTTTTATTAGTTAAAAGCAGGACTCCTTGGAGAATGTAAATCACAATTTTCTTTTTTCAAAATACTACTCATTTCCCAAAAATCTGCTCTGAATCTTAAAATAAAATTGCAATAAAGCTATGACATTATTTCATTAGAAATGCTTTTAATTTCTTTTATAAATCAGATTTATTAAGGACACTATTGTCTTAAGAAACAATTTTTTTTTAATGAATGAATAATGAATTTTTACAAGAATTGTTTTCAATTTTTAAAAATTTTAATTATCATAATTTATAATAAATTGTGCATTACTTCAAACTGGTTAGGTAATATTGTTATTATGTGAAAATTATATTTACGATTCAAAAACTCAGAGTCGGTTACACCAAATATATTTTTTTAAAATTTTAATTTTTATATATATATATATATATATATATATATATATAAAAAGCGCTCACCCATTATTTTCTTAAATTATGTTTTAACAGTTAAAGTCTCCATAGAACAACAGTAAAGGTTACAAATGTGTCAAAAATGGCCGATTTTGTGAAAGCGTGCAAAAAGTCGAGATTCCAATCAGTATAATTTCTATTTGAAATACACCAGAGTATTTTGCTTACTGGAAATAGTAAATTTAATCATTTAGCTTTCAATTAAAGCTAAAATTAAAGTTTCAAGAATGCTTTTTCATTTTAAAAAATTAATTTTAAACCTTAGGTATTGAAAATTCAGCAGAAGTATTTAGATATAGATAGGACAAGGTTTGATGTTGATTAACTTTGGTGATCATACAAGGACCGTTGTTTCAACAAGATATGGCTGTAAGCCAGAAAAGGAGGAAGAAAGTGTATATTATGAGGATATGTAGGATAGATAACAGCTTACCATCGATCAGGAAATCATCCTCTCAGGAAACTGCTCACCCATAGGGCATTTATTTTTTTTTTTTTTTGTGCCATGAGTGATACACGCTCAGGCAATCATCTTTTGACATATGACTGACGAGACAGATTTCTTTCCTGCAGTAGGTTGCCATTTCTTTCTGTAGTAGAGCAGTTACCATTCAAGGCTATAGTTCTGTCCTGCTATTTGCTTGGGGGGCGGGGATGAAGAGGATTCATACCTTTCCCAAGAGTATTAGCATGTAAATGAAGGTATAGCCTATTACTTAAGAAAATTAAAAAAAAAAAAAAAAAAAATAATAATGGGTAAAAGAAAATTAGAATCGGGGCCATAATTTGCATCTGCAACAATTGCAGACTAGTGCTTAATCAACCATGGCTCTTTGGAGGAATTGAAAGAAATTCTGAAGAATTTTATCACTTTGTAGAATTTATTTCTGATTGATCGAGAAGCAGTCGTCCAAAGACGTATTGAACAAAGTTCTCTACAATCATTAGTGATGGTGGGTTCATTTTTAATGGGCTTGAAATGATCGGGGGGAGGGGAGAGGTACAGTCAAAGTTACAATTCATGAAAATATATTTTTATTCACATGAATATTTTTAATTCGTACTCAAATAATAGCTGGATTCATAAAGCTTTTTCTCAGAGAAAAATAAAGAACCAACGAGCATCTGCACGAATGGGAATACGTTTAAAAAAAAAAAAAAAAAGTAAAAATAAAACAAAAAAAACGATATTATGTAAATTTCAGCTAGTATGGCCCAGATTCTAGACTTTTTTTACTCAAACTTGTAGATGAGAATTTTTTTTTTTTTTTAAAGACTTTCCTTAGGTCACAATATTGTCAGAATCGAAAAATACTGTTACCGATTTAGAAGGCGGGGAGGAGGGTCTTCTTGTTTATCGATAGTATCAATCCCTTTTACTGAGTTATTGGACTTAACTGTAAACAGTAATAATGTTTTTTTTTTCTGCGTAAGAGAAAAAACACTTTTGAAATTGGATTGTAAAACAAAACAAAAAAAAATTCTTTTAAAATTTAAATAAAGAATGGATTTTAAAATTTTTAGAGAAAAATTTAAATAAATTATTAAAGTAAAATTAATAAAAAAAAATTATCCCTTTTAATTCCTGATTTAACATAAGTAATTTAATTATGAATCTGTGCTCCCGAAAATATCCCATAGCTTTTATGTTTAAAAGAAGAAAAAATTAACTAAAATAATTGTAAATAAATAAATAATAAAAAAAAATGCATAATTAATTTATCAATCAATGAGTTTTTTTAGTCTATTTTAAAAATATAAGCAACATAGTTAACTTAAGTGAGCTTTTTAGAGCCTAAAATGAAACTATTTCAACAATCAATTGATTGGAATAGATTTCAAACAAATTATAATTATGAGTTTGAAATACACCACCAGAGAATATTTTTGTTTACAGTAAAAACTGAATCCTTTCTTCTTTCAATTAAAAAGCTAAAATAAAAACTTCAAGGGGGTTTCTTTCTTTAAGATTAATTTTTAAAACTTACGTATCACGAATAATAATCTTCAAAATCAGGTCATCGATTTATAGACTTTGTATCGATAAAACAGGACCCAATCATCGCCCTTCTAAAACGATAACATAACAAATCAAGATTATTTTTTTTCTATCCTGCCAAAGAGGATCTAAAAATGCTCAACAAAACAAAATTTAACCAATTTTTTCCTTTTTAATGAATGTGCCAGACTTAATTAAGAAACAATAGTTCTAAGTTACCGGGGGAGGGGGATAAACAAATGATATATTTGTTATATATATATATATATATATATATATATATATATATATATATATATATATATGTATGTATGTATGTGTGTGTGTGTGTGTGTGTGTGTGTGTGTAGGGTGGTCCGAAAGTTTTGTCAGCACTCTTCCAAACATATATGTAGGGGTGACAAGACTTTCAGACCACCCTGTAGGTAAAAATTTTAGTGTAAGCGGAAAACGTTAGTAGGGGACATGGTTCACTCTTCGAAAAGATTTATCTTAAGACTTAAAATAATCTGAAAAAAAAAAAAAAAAAAAAAATTCAATATATTTTTCGATTCTGACAAATGTCAGAGAATAAAAATGCAAATCTACAAAAAATAAATAAACATCCCATTTTTTTGTTGTTTTTTTTTTTAAGAATGTAAAAAAAAAAAAAAAACTAATCTATTTTTTAATAATTACAGTCCAAATTTATTTTGCATGAGTAATTAGTAATAAATTAAGAAAATTTACACATCAAGACATCATAGAGGGTATCAGGAATGCATACATCCCCTGTGTGTGTGCACATATATAAACAAAAAGACATTAACATATCTGTAGAGACGATAGAAGGCGGCCATTTTTAAAAGACGGCATCTTCAGAAACGAAAGCTAGAAATTCAATCTTTGTTGGAACATTTTCTTTTTTAAAGTACGATTTTTAAATTTCTTTTTATGATTAACCAGAAAGGCGATAAAAGAAAACAAAAAAAAAGATATTACCTTTTTACACTAAAAATGCGTAAATTCAAGCTTTCGTTGGTACTTTTTCCTTTTTATCTCGACGTTTTCTCCCTTTGCTCGTTTTAGCGAAATCAAAACTAAACAAGATACTGATAAAGTGCTTCGAAAAAAAAGATTATAAATTGAACGTGATTAATTCACACCTTGTTTATTTTCACGTTTCGCCTCCTGCTGGATCCGTCGTTTAATGAGTTTCTCGTGAGCATGCGCATCCACTTAACAACGTCACTTCCGAAGAAGAGATGGCGCGAATCGTTTTCAGCAGTGAAACATTTAGAAACTACCAAAAATATAATAAAATAATAAAAACGAATAAAATTATCAACTTCTTAAATAAACAATATTATCTCATCAAATTCCAGGACATTTTCAAACGGCTGTATTCTTAATTTATTACGTAGTTTTGATTTTTTTTTTTAGTCCAAGATTGGAATAGACTTCATTTCAAAGAATTTAAAGATTAATGTGGGGACTTTGACGGCTAGTAAGCTTCTATGTGTTTTGGTTGATGTGTCTAAATGAGTGCGTATCTGTGTGGGTGCTTGGGAGAAATGTATGTTTTATTGCAGTTTTTATTTTAACATTTGGAGCAGATTTTTTTTAAAAAGTTGGCAATAGCTGTAAAAAAAAAATGATTTACTTTCTCCAAGATTCCTCCTTACAAGTAATATAAAACAATTTGCAAAACTATTTGAAATTCTAAAAAATTTCATAAAATTATGTTATGGAGGGGGTAACAGATGTAAAAAAAAAAAAAAATTTTACCAAGATTTTCTAAAAATAAAAATTTCAAAAATCAATTCATTCATTTTTGAATAAGTCCTGAAAGTTTCCTTAAAATGAGAATTATCTGATTTTTGCAAGAATTTCCAAATTAATGGGTCTCCCCGGGGAAACTGCTACACTAAAATGTCTACTACCAAAGTACTATTTTAATCCCGCATCGATTTCGTCCAGTTTAACTGATGTTTCTGCCACATTTAAGGATTGTGGGGGGAGGTGGATTATTACTCAAGCATTATTTTGCTTAGTTTCTTGTAAATAATTTTGTTACTCATTGGGGATTTTTTTAAATTGTCGTTTTATTCCCCTCCCCCCACAGACAATTAATTGTACATATGGGGACTATTTAGGATTTTCATAAAGACAATGAGGTTGTGGGGGACCGGGTGGGGATGGGGATGGGGATTGGGGTGGGGTTTGGGCGGTGAAGATGAAAAGTAAAAGAAAACACATGCGTTTATATTTCCTGCTAGAAAAAAAGTCAAGCTACATGTAAATGTCGGACTTGGATTAAGTCCAACTGAAGATAAAGAAGACAAACAAACAAGACCAATATACATTAAAAGTTTTAATTTAAAACAAATATATGTATTAACAACAAATTACAAAGCACATAGACAGTTAACATTGTGTTTGTGTGTAAACATTTGTGTGTGTGTGTGTGTGTGTGTGTGTGTGTGTGTGTGTGTGTGTGTGTGTGTGTGAACGTTTGTATTTTGGTGAATGTTCGTATTAGTTCGTACGTACGTGAATGCGTAAAATTATTTAACGTCTGACCGCAAGGCCGAGACGATAATTCTCTGGGACTACATTTGGCAGCAAGAAGAGAGAAAAAAGAGAATAAGCGAACTCGTGTCTGTTATTTATAGATAATGTAATCACGTGATAGGCTCACAGCGTCTTGGCGGGAAACTTGACTTAGTCACGCGCTAGAAAAATATATTGTGCGTGGTTGGATTGCAGCGCCCACTTGTGTGTTTATTGACCAATTAGAAGCTGATATTTCGTGAAAATATTTACTAAGCTGAGAAGGCTCTTGGGATCCGATTCTCCCAAAAGTGCACAAAATCGACAACATGAAAATATAGCGATTATAAAATTGTCGCATAGCTGCGATTTATAAATTGTCTGTTACACATTAGTGTTGATTTATTATCCAATGAATGCTTGTTGTTGTATAATTTGAATTTGTGTATGTATGTGTGTGATGATGATCATCATTACAAGGTATTATGGTGGATGTAGTAAGAAAGGTAGATAAGAATGTGTTGTTTTGGTGTTAGGAATATGTTTGGGTCAGTTTTTGTGGATAGCTAAATTTAAAGTTAAGACAGTTGAAGACCGTCCTTTTTCCCAATCCCCATTTTAGCCTTGTGCCACATTTTGTACCACAGTGTAACATTCCGCTACCACTTTCTTATCAATGTTGAATTTTGTACAATTTTGTGCAAAAAAGTGTATCAGAGAGCCTACTCAGCTTATTAAATATTTTCAGGAAGTATCAGCTTCTAATTGGTCAATAAACACACAAGTAGGCGTTGAAATCCACCCGCCATTTTCTATGAGCCTGTCACGTGATTACATCAATTATAAATAGCAGACACAAGCTTGCTGCTTTCTCTTCTTCTCTTCTCTCCCTGCAAAGATGTGGCCTTAAAGATTCTCGTCTCGACCATGGGCGGTCAGACGTTAAAAGCATATTCACGCACGCACGCACGTACGTACGAAATTTCCCAACCTACATTACAAACATACGAAACATTTCCAACATGCAACAAAAATTTTTCTCTTTTGAAATATTCTTCTAAAGCTACAGTTTATTCAGCATTTCTCAGCTTTATAATTAATTCAACTTTTGTGAGTTCAGATAAAAATATTCACAGTCTAAGGGATATAACACCCACAGATCTTTAACTTCTACACATGTACATCAACACACAAATAAATACAAATGTTATATTTTAAAACCATCAACAAATGGTCTATTCTTATCAACTTACCACTACAAATGGTAACCCCGATGTTTGACATGGGACAATAAAAACAAATAGACCACTACAATAGTGTCTGAGTTAACTCCTCCTTTAGTACATTAACCATTTCCCTGGCTATAAATAGCCACTGACCCTTCGCCTCTATCTCTTTTTCTTTCAGGATTTCAGCTATCAACCTCGAAATGTAGGCGCTAACAAAGGGATAGCGTGGAAACACGCTAAGCACAATACACACACACGCACACACATACAGAATATTCACACACGCACGCACATACAGAATATTCACACACACTTCGTCCTTTGTACTATTTCCATGTATTGTAACTTGTTATTAATATATATTTGTATATACATATATTATCGGTCTTGTGTTTTGTTTGCTTTCTTTGCCTTCTTCTTTGGACTTAATCAAAGTCCAACCTTTTTATGTAGTTGGGTCTGGCGGGCAGGAGTATCTGAATCTTAGATGCGATTCTTCTACGTCTGACTTCACAACATCACAGCCACGGCACTCTACAATAGTACAAATAAATATCGTAAGTTTCTCTCTGTAATCAATTATAAATCAGAATTTATTTCAGTCTTCACTGCAACGTTGTGCTGCATCTAAGTTATGCCTAGTAAATTTATGTATAGCTAATCAATTTGGTGAATTTTTATTAAGTTTTTAATACGTTTTCAGCAATCGTCTATTCTCATTCTTGTTGTATAATGTATTTCTTATATAAAGAATACTTTTTTAAACTGTTCAATTGTCTTGTTGCGGATGTGTGATGTGTGTTGGAGAGGAATAGAAGGTTTGAATTATCAGAAGATTTAAAATTGTGTGTGTTCAATAACCTTCCATCCACAATAATTAATACAAGACAGAGTATAATGATTCATAAACATCTTGTTTCAAAATGTAACAATTGAATTTATTAGTGTTTGATATACATGCATGAATACTGAATGAAAAGATTAAACAGAGTTGTGTCTCTTAGACTAAGTAATATTTGTACCTAAGTTCATAAAGTGGAAGTAATTATTAAACTGTAGTTTAGAAGAATTAAGTTTCTTTAGCATATTTGTAATTGTGTATTGTACAAGTTGGTAAAAGTTCAGAAGAGAGATTTCAGAGTTCGTACTTGCGTGAATGTTGGCAATGGTCTTTAACGTCTGACTGTAAAGGTTAAGACAGGAGTTCTTGAAGATTACATCTTAGCAGCAAGGAATGAGATGAGACGCGAGAGAGAGTGAGTTTACACGTGTTTTGTTCTTATGATCATGAATCACGTGACTGGCTTGGATGGAAAACGCGGGAAAACAGATTTGTCGCGTGCAGGCGGTTTGATTGGTCGAAACTGACCAATCAGCGAGCTAGATTGAAGGTGATTAACCAATGAATGCTTGTTATATATTTGTAAGATTGTGATGGTGAAAATTACAACAGGAATAGTGCATTTCCTAGCAGGGTTTAACTGGTTTGTTGTAGAAGATTCCACAGTCTCATCTTTGTTCATCTGCCACAACTCAGTTTGAGGAGTCGTTAAATTTTCCATGTTTCTATTCAACTATTTGCATAGCTTATTTAGTGTGAAACCTGTTCCTGGTGTTTTCTTCAATGTTTGGTCGAATGTGCGAGAAACAGGCCCTCATTTCTTCTTCAGTTAAGCGTAGTCTTTCTCAATTCTTGTTTTTGATGTTATTTAGGGTTGAGGAGCCAAATCCACATAAATAAGACGTAGAAAATTGCAATAAAACTGTCGGAGTTAGCTCCTCCTTAATTCCCTGATTATTCCCTAGGGGTTGCTCTCCCTACACTATAAATATTGGGCGACTTCTTTTCTCGTTCTCTTTTCCACTTTGCATTTCAGCTGACACATTTAAAAATGTAATCTCTCGCAGAAATCCGCGTTTTCGCCCACTTGTGGGAAAACGCCATGAAACACACATACACGTACGTACGAACATTCGTCAAAATACAAACTCTTTATGTTCACACACAGACACAAATGTTAATGTCTTTGTCACTTGTAAAATTGTTGCTTAATACTGTTGTAAAATAGATTTCACAGTGGAGGCTTGTATTTCAGTAAGTCGTCCTAAATTAGGTTCGACGTACAAAACGTTAGGAACTTGCAATAATAGTTAATGACGCAGCAATCTAGTTGTGATGGTTGATACTTCAATGTCTGAAATTGACTGACTCACTCAACTCCACTGAGC